GGCAAGTCGCCGGAGGAGCGTGCCGCCGAGGCCGAGGCGGCCGCCGCCGCAGCGGCGCCGGGCGTTGCGGCTCGCCTCAGCGGGGCGGCCAGCCGCGCTATCAGTGGCGTGCGGTCGTGGGCGGCGGTGCAGCCCTGGGGCGCGATCGCGGGCATCGCGGCGCTGTTTGCGTTCTTCATTGCATGCCAGGTGCTGCGAGGCTCTGTCGCGCCCCACTGCTCGCCCTCCTCCTGGGCGATTTTTGGCACACTCTGCGGCGTCAGCGCCGTCGCCACCGTCGGCGTGTCATTCTGGGCGGCTGCGGCGGAGCGGCGGCGGGCGGCGGCCGAGTCGGCATCGGCTGCGGCGTCCGCGGACTGCTCGTGCATCATTGTTGAGAAGGGGAGTAGCAGCAGCAGCACCATCAGCGCCAGCGGCGTGGCTGCCGCAGCAGCCGGCTGCGATGAAGCTGCTGTGGCGGCTGCAGGCAAGCAGGCGGGGCTCAGTGATAAGGAGCAGCCATCCATCCAGCTTATCAGCCTTGGCATACACTCTGCTGCAGCTTTGCCAACGAGCACCAGCGCGCAGCAGCAGCAGCAGCAGCAGCAGCAGCAGCAGCAGCAGCAGCAGCAGCAGCAGCAGTCCTCGGCCCCCGCCCTGGCCCTGCCAGCCGCGCACAAGAACGAGGACGCGGTGGGCTGGACGCCCCGCCAGCTGGCGGCCATCCACCCGCAGATGGTGGTGGCCGGCCTGATGCTCGGCGCATGGCCGCTGTCGCCCATCATATTCGCGCTGGGCCTCCACCCCCAGGTGGCGGCCGGCACCAGCAAGCTGCTGCTGTTCATGATCACGGGCGGCGCCGGGCTGTCCTTCATCGCGTCCGGCAGCATCAACATCCACTACATGCTTGCCTACGGCATTGCCAACGCGATCGCCACGCCGGTGGGCGTGTGGGTGATGGACTGGGTGGTCAAGCGGACTGGGCGGCCCAGCTACATCACGCTGCTGACCATTGGCCGGCTGCTGGCCTGCGTTGTCATCCAGCTTGCGTTCCAGGCCGTGCCGAGCCTCATTCAGCTGTCGCACGGCCTGCCCCGCTACGGGTTCCTATCGCACTCGATTTGCTGAGCGTGCGCACTGTCGCGGCAAGCGCGACCTGGAGCCGCCGCTTTGTTTGAGCTTGGGGCATTGTGGGGCTTGCAATACAGACCCGGCTGGGTGTCCGTTTAGGGAAAGATTTCCCCATCATTGCTTTTGGCCCACTGGCGCAGCCTGTCACAATTTTCTTTACAGCCTGTATTTCATGTGCTGCATCAAGCACACTCAACCCTGAAGAACCCATGAATATGAGCAGGCTGTCCTTCCGACTG